AAACCAGCACTCAGAAATTAGGAATCAGAAACATCAAGAACCAGCAACAACACCAGAAAACCAGAGAAGCAGAAGCAGCTCCTAAACAATCAAAAATTTGCTTCCCGCCGAGATTCTACATACTGAATGAAAGACAATATCCCTTACTAGGGCATCAACAGATTCGAGCACCCTGTAAACAAGACTGCATTCCTCTGAATCCATATACCATAAACTGTTTCAGTGAAGGCTACATGGATCACTTTGTTTTTCAATCTGGAACTTCTGCAGATTTTCTTCATCCAATCAATCTCATCACTAAACTGCTGAACAGGCTTGGAAACATGTAAAATACCCAACACCTTGTTCCAAACTTGTCTAGAGTATTCACAATCAAAGAATAGATGTTGAACACTTTCATTGCTATTCAAACATAAAAAGCACCTTGGATCACAAGAAATGTTCCATTGGAGCAACCTATCCTTAGTAACAAGCCTATTCCACAAAGCTAGCCACAAGATAAAAAAACTTTTAGGAGTTGCCAAGTGATGACAAATGACTCTCTTCTAAGGAACCTTAGGGACTTGAGGTCTAATAGCAGCATAAAGCTTCTTGATTTTCACTTTGTTGCCCTGCATAAAACCATCCCAACCCCCTTGATAATTCACAACATCTCTACAGCTCAGTATCTTCTTCAAGAACCAAGAGCATTTATCAGGGGTAGGGGTGGTCCAACAATCTTTATGCTTGAAGTAATAGATATGGACCCACTTAACCCAAAGATTATCAGCATTGTGAGCAATATCCCAAAGTAACTCAATGACAGCTGCTTTATTCCGTTCAGGAAGAGAAAGCAAGTTCCAGCCACCACAAACTTTAGGGAGACAAACATTATTCCAAGCCACCAAAGATTTTTTAGCAGGGGTAGAGGAACCGGTCCAAAGAAAGCATCTGAATCTAGCCTCAACCTCTTTCAAAATTTTCTTTGGTAAGATGAAAATTTGAGCCCAATATGTCTGAATACCAAACAACACACTCTTCACCAATTGAAGCCTCCCAGCATAAGACAAGTGTTTAGCCATTTACCCTTGGATTCTTGCAGTCACCTTCTCCACCAAAGGCCTACACTGCGCAATAGTAAGCTTCTTGGAAGAAAGAGGGACCCTAAGATACCTAAAAGAGATAGTACCTTGAGAAACACCAAGAAGCTCCCTCAGCTCTGTCTGAACATCAATAGGAACTCCTCCAAAATAGACTTCACTTTTATCAAGATTAGCAGAAAGCCCAGAGGCACCTGAGAATTTCAAGAAGGCTTGGAAGAGGAGCTTAACAGAAACACTATCAGCTCTAGAAAACATCAGTAGATCATCAGCAAACATCATGTGAGTTAGGTTTAACTTTTCACATCTAGGATGGAAGTTGAAATTAGGAGTTAACCTAAGCTCATTAAGGCATCTGGAGTGGTATTCCATACCAATAGCAAAAAGAAAGGGAGACATAGGGTCTCCTTGCCTTAAGCCTTTCTTAGCTTCAAAGGGAGGGGCAGGAAAACCATTAATAAGAATAGAATAGGAGACAGAAGTAAGACAAGTCCAGATCCAGCTAACAAATCTCTGAGGGAAACCAAGCTCCTGCATAACAGTGATCAAGAATCCCCACTCAACTGAATCATAGGCTTTCTTCAAATCCACCTTAACCATGCACCTAGGAGAGATAAATTTGTGATCATAGCCTTTGATCAATTCAGTTGCAAGAAGGATATTGTCACCAATGTGCTTGCCTGGAATGAACCCTGCCTGAGCATCATCGATCACGTCACCAATGATAGCAGCAAGTCTAGCAGTTATAATCTTAGAAATTAGCTTATAAATCACAGTACAACAAGCTATAGGTCTAAAATCCTTAACATGAGAAGCATTAGGGATTTTAGGAACAAGAGTGATAGTTGTAAAATTCCATTGCTTAGGCAAGGTCCCTTTAGTGAAGAAATCAATAACACTAGCATAAATATCATCTTTCACAGTATGCCAAGCTCTTTTAAAGAAAAGGGAGTTAAAGCCATCAATACCAGGAGCTTTAGTGTTATCAATTCCCTTAAGGGAAACATCAATTTCATCATGAGAAATAGGCCTAATGAGATAGCTCTGAGCAGCAGAGCTAAGCTGCTTACCCCTCCTCATAGTGACAAGGTCAACAGCAGGGAGCCAAGGAGCCTGAGTCCCTAAAAGAGACTTATAGAAGGAGATAATTTCATGAGAAATAGCATTCGGATCCTTGAGCAACACCTGATTAGAATCAAAGATGGAGTCAATTCTATTCCTTGCTTGTCTACTCTTCATCACAGAGAAGAAATAATGAGAATTGCCATCTCCAAGCTTAATCCAATTGATCCTAGATTTTTGTTTGAAGATGCTTTCCTGAATATCATTCCAGTGTTTGACAACCTTAATAGCATCAGATTCTTTAGCATAAAGATCTAAATCATCAGGATATAATTATAGAATGTTTGGAATTTAAAAGGGGTGGAAAATGCATGGAAATGAGGATATAGGTAGAAAAACTCAAGAGCAAAATGATGTTTATTTTTGAAAAAACCATTACTAATGGATATTTGGTTGAACACTCGAACATAGAATTATTGAAGTGATTTATCATAGCTTAAATGTTGTTATTAAGGTGATCTATGGTACATCATTTACTTGATTAAGGTAAAATAAGAGGTCGAGAAAAGGTAATTCCGCAACCCCTTTCCAACTAATCATAGTGCGTCAACCATAAACTTGTATAGACATATTAGAGGATGTAACATCTCCAAATCTCCCTTATGAAAATACTAGTGTAATACGTACAATTATATTGTAGATATAGACTTAGACGATTACCACCTTGTAATTATGCAAGTATACTCAAAACTACAAAACAAAATCAAAACTTTGCAGGGGAAACTCAAACTCTTCCTTTATTAATACTTAGAAGAAATACTAACCATTATTATAAGTACTCAAAAATAGAAAAAAAACCTCATCATTTCAAAAACTAGGTGAAGCATATCCCTGGATTATTCTCAACTACTCAATTATTGACTCTACTTGAAAAATAGTCAACACTATTGCTTACAATTAAGGTAAACAGGGCAAACCATAACCAAAACAAAATACGGAATAGCAAAATAAGATAAGTACAACAAGTGCGAGATAAGTAAACTCAATTTATTAGCAAACATGCTTTAAAAACCAATTTCAATAAATAACCCAATAACTCTAAACTCATAATTCAACAAAATCAATTCCTAAGATTCTTAAAACAATTTCAATATCTTAATAATTTGATAATAATGATTATTAAAATCAATTCCTTTTTTATAAACCCAATTCTTTTCCTAAGTGTGCTCACCCCCCTAGTTAGTATCTTTATATTCAAAGACTATCCTCGAGGAAAGAGTTGGTCATACAAAGTCCAAAGTCTTATTAACCTAATATGTATAGGAGGATTAATATAATCATGGTTGTAAAGCTTTATTAATAATTAAATAAGTCAGTAATATCTCTTTAAAACAATAATTCTATCCTTTAAAATAATTCAACTCAATTAAACTCCTTTTTATTTAGTTCAACATGCATTCAAAATCAAACCCTTTAAATATAATAAATAATTTAATCGTTCAAAACATGACATTAAAAATCCATTTTCAAACATATTTATTAAATCATAATTTCTTAAGGTTATTTTATGAATCAATCTTATTCAAAACGATTCAATTCAATCATCATTATATCACACAAAACATGCTTGTTCAATTTAATCAATTTCAAAGGTATCTAGCCACCTAAACGTACCATGATTCTCGCTAAGCACACACAGCAAGAACCTCAAGCACTCTCATCAAAAATACCCTACAATTAACTATAAATTTAATTAACATAAGTCATCAAATAATCACAATAATTAAATAAAGCCCCGAATTATGTTTACATGAACCTTATAAATAATAGGTTATGGCTTTGCTGAAGCAGGTTTAGAAACTTTCGACGGCTCGGGACATTGGGGCTCTTGCTACTGTTCATAATTTTAGTTGGATAGACTTTTCTATAGCTAGAGGAGTGAAGGCCAGATTGTCACTAATACAAAAATAAGTAAAGAGACCCGTCCATATAAGCCTAAGAGACCGCACATGAACGAATGTCTACCTTAGAGGTCTATTTGATAAAGAGACTCCATCTTGTGAGGGGTTTGTTTTAATAAACAAAGAGACCCGTCACAAAAGATAGGTGGTATGTCATGTTAGGTAAATATTTTTCAAGGAAAAGAGATAAAAATATGAAAAAAAAATGACTTGAATAGGTGTATCTAGGGAAAATTCACTTCGAAGCGACTATGCGTTACTTGTAATAGGGGGTCTCTTTGGTTGGTATGTAACAGACCTTTTATGATTCATAATGGATCTCTTTTTCAATTCTTTTTTTAAAAAATAAACACTTTACATTCATTTTGTCTTTATTCAATTTCAAAATTTGATTTTTTTATGTTATATACTAACGGTTGAAAATATTTACTTTGTAAATTACATACTAAAAAAAATTTCATTTCATAATTGATGTTATAATATAAACCAATCCCTTGATTCTAGCAAAAAAAACTACAGTAAAAATTATAATAAATAATATAGCTTGAGTGCTGAATTTTCTTTGTCCTTTACCTATGATACTTTTAAAGTAGATCTGCAGAATAAAAACCAAAGAATTAACAATGATAGCCAATGTAAAAAAAAAATTTAATGGAAAACGAAACTAAAACACAAATTGAAATAAGGAATCAAGGCGCACTAGTACATAATTGAATTTATGTAACACATTTTAGTAATACTTTTTACAATGCAAAATTATTAGATTTATAATTAACACTTTGATAACATTTTTTAATAATGTAACACTCAATGTAACATTTTTAATATAAGTAACAGTACAAGATAACATTTATAAAATAGGTAACATTAGAAAGTAACACTTTTTTTTCTAATAATATTTTCTTTTTGTTTTTATTTTTCAAAAGTAAGTACTGCTTATTTTTTCGTTAATTTTTTTTTGCTCGATCTTTCAATAACTTTTATACTACGTAGTTCTCTCCTCCATCGTTCTTATTCATTCTTTTCTAAAGGCTTTGATTACGAGGCCTCCCATCCCACCATTTTTCGGATCTCTCCTCTTAACTACTTTCGATTCTTTGATCATAAAAGATCTATTAATTTGCTTTTATTTTTTTTCCTGAATTGATTTTTGTTGAGTTGTGTGAAACATAATTTTGATTGGGAATTGATTATGATTTTAGTGGATTTAATGCTTGTGAATCCATCATTGTTTTGTTCTGTTGATATTCGAAATTGCGAAGAAATTTGTGGTTTCTCACTATTGTTGTTCTTCATTGTCTAGGGTTTGCAATTTTGTCGAGCGTCATTGAAGCTCTTGCTTGCTGCGATTTTCATCTTAAAGGTTCTGATGGTGCGGCGAAGTGGTGTATGGCGAGTTCTTACATTTTCCTATAATTCCCTTGCAACTTATTTTAACGAAATTCAGGTATATCAATAATTTAATTTTGATTATTTTTAAGGTTGATAATTTTATTGTAAAATCCGCTATGTTAAAATTCCGTTCTAGAACAGACTCAGATCCCTATATTCCCTTGCAAGTTGGAATTCTAACGATGATGTTGATTATGATTTATTTACAGTTTTAGTTTGAAATCAATGAAATTATGACGTTTTGCTGGTTAATATGATGAATTAGCCGTTCAATTTTTGTTGTTCGGATTATATTTGTAAAACTAATTTGATGATTTGGGAAATACATTTATAGAAGTATAATTGATATGAGTTTGCATATATTGGTTAATAGGGTTTGGTTTAATTTCTCACCAAATTAATCGACAATATAGGGCGTGTTTGGCAAAATATAGCTGTGAAGGTAGTTGTAGCTGTGGAGGTAGCTGTTAGCTGTGAAGATAAATAATTTAGATATGAGTGTTCGATAAAGTAGTGGTTGACTAGTTGTTACATATAAAAATCAATATTTTATTTTTAAAACTATAGATTAAATTTTCAACAGCTACTTGAAAAGCTATCTCTAATTTAAAAAGCTAATATTTCTAACTTTTCACAAAAGCTACCTCCACCACTAAAAGCTACCCTAACCACTACTTTGCCGAACACTCATATTTTTTGTTGAGTAGTGGTTTGACCAAGTCAAACCACTAAAAGCTACTCAAAAAGCTAACGCCAAACACGCCCATAGTCAATTTAAGGTTCTTAGGCGCCCCTTTCTGTTTCACCATTTGCTTTCTCTCACTTTCCTGTGTCTTGTACACTCTATGGCCTACACTCCCACTTTCTAACCTTTATTTTTTTTTTCTTTTATAGAGAATTAAAGCAGGCTGATAGTGAAGATCTCGGCATTTACGTTATTGAACATGATGGTTCACGCGTAATACTATGGGATTAATGTAAGCTTAAGGAAAAATTGATGGTGGTTGAATAAACAAGCTCGAAGATGAGCTGACTAATAACTAGGTGTTTATCCAATTTCTCGTTTGATTTTTCCTACTTATTTTTTTAATTATATGAATTGGAAGGAAGAGGTCTGTCATACACTCATACTGTTATGTTTGTGGATAATCTGTGTATGAAATGTGCTCTCAGTAAACTGCTTATCCATATGAAGTACATGATTTGCAAGTTATATATGGGTTTTTTTTTGGTTAAAAATATAGTAGTGTCATAAAAGAATTTCTTTTGAACAATGGTAGAATTAGTTTGAATGTATCTTAAGTAGATCATCCATATTGGCTTATTTTGTTTTCATCGGTATGAAAAACTGATGCACAATGCTACTTACATCTTGAAAACCTTTGCAAGTCAAGCGGAGCTAAACTTTAGAGAACTTGGGGTTTTGTTATTATCAAATATTTTATTGGAGAGAACTTGTGATTTCTGTAGACATGATTAAAGACATATTGTCTTGAAAATAATCGAGCTTGGTCCACCATATGAGATGTTCAACTTTAGACAATGCAAGGTGCTAAACTAATTAAACTCTTTTTGATAATGTAAATGATTAGTTTTGTTATGTTCGTTGAATGTAAATAATAATAATAATAATAATAATAATAATAATAATAATAATAATTATTATTATTATTATTATAATTACTATTACTATTATTACTATTACTATTATTATATTATTATTATTATTATTATTATTATTATTATTATTATTATTATTATTATTATTATTATTATTATTATTATTATTATTGTGTTACATTAGTTTGCAAAAAGTGATACATAATGTCATATAAAGTATTACTATATGTCAAAAGATGATTAAAAAATGTTACCTAATTATCAAGAAGGTGATACATTAGTTTGAAAAAGTGATATAAAATGTCGGATAAAGTGTTACTATATGATTAAAAATGTTACTAAAGGTAATTAAGTGTTACCTAACAAATAAAAAGTAACAGTTTAAAAATGATACTAAATATATAAAAAAGTGATACATAAAAGGGTTTATAGTAACACTTTTAAAAATGTTACCATACATTATCCAAAGTGTTACATAAAACCTTAGGTAACATGGGCGGATGTATCACCCACTAAAGTGATACCTATTGTCTATAATAACACTTTTACCACTATATATAACACTTTTTAGATGTTACTTAAGGTTAGTTTTGTACTAGTGGCGGTAAAAATAAATGAAGACAAACACTAACCTTACTCTTCAATTAAAGTTAATTGGATTTAAGAAATTCTTATCGACATACAGATGAATCTAGAACATAACCTAACAAATATATTAACCAAATGATTTCAAACTTCATATAACAAACCTAATGAAGTTGCATGGACATAATTTTTTTTTTTTAATTTTATAAATCTCCTCACAATTCTAATATAAACAAACCAAAATACCAAAACAAAATTAAAGTTTCATCAAGTAAAAGTATTAATAACAATAAAAATAAAAATAATAATCAAATCACAAAACTTACCAAAAAAATCAATCTATGTATATTCTCAATAATATATCACAAACGATGTATTTATCGATATTATTGTTTTAGCTTAGATTTATTTTGTTTGGAAAAAGGAAGAAGAAGAGAAGAGAATTTTCTGAAATAAAGAAGATGAGAATTGGTCTCAACGATTTTAGAGTGAGAAAAATAGTGTGAGAGTTGACAGAGGAGGGATAGAATAAAAACAAAGTATGAGAATAGGAGTAGAGTAGTGTTGTAAAAAAAATAAGAAGTTAGCTAGGACTCTAGAAGGTAATCCATATGAATGAGTTGTGATATACACATACGGAGTAAAATAATTAAAAAAGGACTGAGACCCGTTACGTTTGACAACGGGTCTTTAATTTTCTTATTATTTTATTAAAGGAATGTAAGAGATCCAATAGTTGATAACGGGTCTGTTACATCTCATGTATTTTTCTCACCCTTCAAATTAGTAGGCCCTAATGTATATTAGAGACCCATTATAACTAATATTGGATCTCTTTCATTAAATAGACCCGTTTGTTAATATGACGGGTCTTTAATTGATGGTTCTTTTTCTAATTGTATTTGCCAATTCCCACTTCCTATGAGTGACAAGCATATTCACACATGCTGTTAACGTAGGCGCACTTCGAACGACGCCTACAATTTGGTGACTCCATTGGGGAGTATTCTTGGTTATTTATCGATTTAAGTGATCGGTATTTAATTAAGATGAGTGGATGAGACTTGAAAGATTCTTCAAAAATGTTCCTGTGATTAATTTGGAATTTTTTCATAAGTATAGACGTTTTAACGTCGCATTTAGCTTTGTCCCGTAGCAAAAATTGAATAACTTGATCGCGAACAAAGGAAAAAAGGGCACCAGTCAGATTTTCTAACTGCCGTGCCACGGCAGATGCTGTCGTGTCACGGCGCCGTACACTGTCACACGGTGTGCAGCACGTGACACGGTACATTCTGCCGTGTCACGACAGTCATTAAATTTGTCCAGTGGCTTATTTACTCTTATCACAGTCAACTTCCTTCAGTTTTTTTTTTTTTAAAACGTGTGTGTTCTACATACGTCTTACCCATGGGGGATTTAAGCTCTATCAACCTAAAAACCCTCATGGAAATAAGGGTTCATCCGAGTTATTAAATTCACCCAAACCATGAAGTCAAGTTCGATTTCATCACGAACTCGCGGAGCTGCCCGTTTGCATACACCCTCAAGGCAGGCTTCCTTGCTAAAGCGTCCAAACTCTTAACCATGGTACCCTTTTGATACCCAAAGCTTGACCAATAGTTGAACATAAATCTTGACCTTAGGTTGCGAACTTTTTTTTGCATTATCGTGACTAAGTGCTACGTGGTTTATTTTGTGCTAACCCACATGTGTTTGTTCATTTTGTTTGACCCAGGACCGAGAGTTTTTATCTCCACATAGTAATTAGTATGGACTTAAAATTGGTTAAAACCTAGAAGTTACATAAATTTAGACCTGGAATTGTGCACCGTGTCACGGAAAATCTGTCACGCCACTGTGTGCAATGCCGTGACACGGTGCATTGTGCCGTCTGACTGTGCACTGTACCGTGTCACGACAGTCAGCACCGTGACAAGGTGCCCAGGAGTTTGGTCCAGTAAATCTTTTTTAGTCTTTGTACGTGCTTATGTGGTTCGTATATCCGGTTTGATGTCATGCCTTGTTGTACAGTCATAACACGCGTCCATAACCTCACTTAATCAGTCACATGTCGTGTCAAGTTCAGACATTTCACCTTGAGTCATGCACCATTTTATGACTGTACATTAGGATGGTCTTGTGTCGTTTCTTTTTTTTTTTTTTTTTTTCGGACCAAGTCGGATGGTATCCTCCCATACATACTTTTTTTTCAAAAAAAAAAAAAAATTCGAAAGAATTTTCTTGCCTTTTGTTTTTTCGGAAGGGTCATGGTTAAGTCTAGTCATTAAAGATGTGTTTGTTTCGATGTCACAACACTTGGTCAAGAAGAAGGGGTAGATGGTTACGGTTTGAGTCAATACCCTAACAACCTCTTATACCAAAGAGGCGTTCAAGGAAACCACCACAATCATCTCCACAAAGTCCATCTCCAGTTTCCTTTAAACCAATGGCTTCTAAGGAGGATATTGAGAACATTAACAGGTCCATCGAGAGGTTGTCTACCATGATGCAAGCGCTCACTACCAGAGTCAACGCGGTAGAACAAGACAATCAAAACAATGTTATTGTGGCTGCAATGGACAAGATCAAAGAGCAAATGAGTAAGATCTCTAAAGAGTTCACCTATGTGGAGCAACCTGTCACCTCTTCGTCCATGAGGGACAAGCTTCTTTAGAAGTTTTCCACTACTGACATTCCCATGTTCAAGCTTATTGATAATCCGATGTTCCACTTGAAGGCTTTTTCTATGACCATGGCTCTCAAGGGATTAGATGTGACACTCTTCCCTACTGTGCTCCCTTTTTCCTTAGAGCATGCCTGTCAACAATGGTTATACTCTCTGGAATCCAAGCATGTTGCGACTTGGGAGGATGTTATTGAAAGTTTCATGAACTGTTACAAATGTAACATCCAAGATAAGACTTTTGAACTTGAAATCTCCATTCTCAAACAGAAGGAGAATGAAGGCTTCACTACTGATCTAAGCAGGTGGAGAGAAACAGATGCACTCTTGGTGGATCCTCTAAAGGGGAAGGAGATGGTTCGCCTCTTTATTGCAAATCAGACTCATAAGTACCAGCAGCACTTGAAGTTTCTACCTTTGAACACCTTTGATGCTGTGTACGATATTGGGATCAATATCGAAGATGAGTTGAAGAAGACTGCTGGTATCAACAACAATAACAATACTTGGAAAAATAAGAAGAACGACACTCCTTCTTCTTCGTCTTCTAATCCCAATAATGCTACCAATAACATCAACGTCAATGATGTATTAGCTTCTAATGCTCCCAATTAAAGATTCCAAAGGCAAAGGAGGGTTTACACACCTTTGTGAATGAGCTATGATGCTGCTTTTGATCACTTGCATAGTCAAGGACTGATTATGCCAATTGGACCCTTTCTAGAACCTCGACCAGAGAACATAACTGCTAGCTATGAACCCAATGCTCATTGCATGTTTCATCAAGGACAGGGTCATACCACTGAGAAGTGTTGGAGGTTGAAGGATGCGATCCAAAACCTAATTGATGCTAATCAACTTCCTGTACCTCTAGAGGGCAAGAAGCCCAATATTCAAACATGTCCCCTTCTCTGATGCTTTGGCTATCATGGGAGATGAAGTCTCCTTTGATCCGTGACTACTCATTTGACCTGTGAATGATCCTCTATTAGAAATTGTCTTTGTTTCAAGCTGTGAAGAAGTGAATGGAATTTGGGATAGTGATGATGAAGACGACTATCTCAAAGATATAGCATGTTCATCTTGGCACTAGTGAATATGTTTGGGGAGACCTTGAGGTTAAGGTTCTCACCAAAAATGGACGGTTGCAACATCCTAGTCCACCTCAACCTCCACCTCAATTGCAGCAAATAGTTGATCCCATCGACCCTGTGAACAACGATGTGATCAAACAATTACAAAAGACTAAGGTGAAAATGAATGTATGGAAGCTTTTGGCCACCTCCCACGAGCATCGAATTGCTGTGATGAATTCACTGGTG